ACCTTACCCAAAGAGTCATTTTATCTGATCTGGTACCAAAATTACTGCAGTGGCTTTATCATTGTTTTATGTTTACTGGATGTAATAACCATAGGCAATTAATGTGTTATGTACTATACAGTATACAGCAAACTCAATTAGAATCAAGGTTATCTAGGTACAGATTTGTATATCATTTGAAACTATTTCTTAGGTTTAGAATACTTGCTTTGGAGATAATTGAACAACCATGTAAAAGACACTCTAAGAGATAAATATGTACTTAGTCATAAGGCTGTCTTGCTACAGCTTTTTTCTGGTGATTGTTACAGCACTGTAATGCTGTAAGTCAGCATTATGGTATGCAATAAGTTGTTATTATCTGCCCATTGATCAGATGAACTGTTGGCTGCTTCTCCAAGCCACCTGAAGCTGGCTGTGCTTTCCCAGTGAAATCAGTGCATACATGCCTGACTGACCAGAAGAGCTGTGTTTGATTTATTATTATTACAATAAAGTTGTTTGTTCATAACTAAGGGATTGCTTCTACTTTTCTTTATGTTCTGTTTATAAACTGGATCCATTTCATTATTATATTCTTACATGGAATAACCACACATACTTTTATCAAATCCTTAGTTGCTGCTAAGCTCTATCAATAAGCCATCTGAAGAGTTTGTGGTCTTCTGTGGGTAGGGAATAGAGGGATGTAAAAACGTGCAACATTTGTGTGCTACCACCTGAGCCATTTTGGAAGACTTTGGTGTCCAGACAGCGTGGATCACCTGCCTTTTGATGAGTAGGCTTGTGAATGTTTAAATCTCTTCTGTTAACTTTGAAAATATGGGTTAATGAGTCTCATAGCTGTGAATTATTTTTGTGGGTTTTTTTTTTTTTTCCTCTTACACTGTGAACAATAAAGGGAAAAACTAGCAAGTTTACATGTCTTTTTTGTTGTTTGAAACTTCTAGGTTTTGTTCCTTTCCTACCCTAGCATCAGCATAAGCTGTAGTATACAGATTTTTCCCCCTTCTTTCTTTCCCATTAGTCGCTCTATTAAATATGTTAATTGTAGTGTCCCAGATTACTGGGAGCTCCTTAAATCAAAGCCATGAGACTTGGTAGCAAGGCGCTTAGCTATGAGCTTTGCAGATGATAACTGCATTATATGAGTATTCATACAGAACTGATTGAACCCCTGAGGCCAGATGCTAGAACTGTTTTGTGCTACTCCAGCAACATAAAGCAAACTTGAACAGAGTTTACAGGTCTGCTTGAAGGCTATTTCTGAGTAAGAAAATCCTGCCATCATGGATTTGATGCTGTCAAGAGGTTGTTCTGACCTGGCCAAAATGTGGCCTTCATTGTGAGGAGGGAAATGGGCCTGAAAAATGTAGTCCTGTGCTCTGTCCAGGAGGGTCAATTCCATTCAGTGAACGAAGGGGAGCCTGGATGACCACTATTGTTTTTAAAAGTACAGACTTGGAGAGGTCTATGAGGTGCTGTCATAAAAATAATAATTTATAACAATCAAAAATTATTATTATTTTTCCTACACACAATCATCATCTCACAGCTTTGGAACTCACACATCTTGTCTGAAGAAACTTGCATTGACAGTGCTAAAATTTCCTTCTCTGTGCATCTCTGATCCAGCTTTCCATTTTTTCCAAGGTATATTTGCTGAGATGGGCAGGCACATGCTATGTCTTAGAGCAGGTACAAAAGAGTTTTATTTGTACTGCCTGTCATTGCAAGCTGGAGGAATTCAGTATCTGTGTCACTGCCTTTGCCATATGTGGTTGGGTTTTCTCCTTCCCCTCTGTAATTCTGCTGGGGGCACTGTATAATAAAAGTCTCAACTTAATCAAGAAAAATTCAACATGTGGCACCACAAGAGAGAGCATCAGGATGTAAAAGCAGAAAGCAAACAAACAAGCGGGCCCTTGTGATGTCAGACTAATAACACAGTTGCTGCTGTGCTCTCTCGCTTTCTGGTGTGTGTACTGTTTTTCCTGTACAACATTGTTCTGTGCTTTGTTTCCTTCGGCTTCTTAGCCCGAGAGGGTTAGCTGCTGTCAGCAAGGCTGCTGGGACAGCAGCAGGTGTCTGAATAATTGGAAACAAAATTCTTTTAGAAAGAAGCAGTTCATGGAAAAGAAAACCCTTTTCTAAGATTAAAACAGTAAAAAGAAAAAAAAAAGAAGAAATCGTTTTCCAGGGCCATTAGCAGAGTCAAATCTTTCCATTTCTTAGAAATAAAATTAAGACACATCAGAAGGTATGACCGTTCCAGATTGAAGCAGGCCCAGCAAAATGTGCATTGTGGAGAGCTTCATCTTGTGAGCCTGCAGGAGGTGGAGGTGGTTTGTAGCATGGAGACCAACACTGGGGTTCCTGGGCTGGCACCACAAAATGAGATTTGTCGTACCAGGCAGCATGGTACCTGAAGCCATCCTTCCCTCCATTCTACACAGTCATAGTGTTATTTAAACACCAATCTCCCACACATCTTCAGCAGCAAGGATTGTCTGCTGCAGGAGAAACTGGCTGCTTAGGTGCAGATGGGTGTGGGTGCCATTTGCTGCTTAGGCACTCATAGCAGAGAATAGTCCAGAAGGATGTTGGAGCTGCTGGCCAATGCAGTGACAGGGACCAGATGCCCTCGGTGCCACAGAGAAGCCACCAACTTCTCCCACACCTCATCCCTTCAGCCCTGATCTCCTGCTTCTGCTGCACACTCCTTTGCAGCTGGTTGCTTCAGGAGGGAGGGGAGGCCTTCCCCTTGGCATAAAAAAGATGTGGAGCTGGACATGGTGTGCTGGGTGTGGGGACATCTGCACCCCAGGCTGTCTCACCAGCCCCCTCAAAGGCCAACGGAGGGGAGTACTTGAGAAGCCACTATTTGTAAGGAATGTTGGTGGCAGGAAGACCTGGCGCATTTTATGGCACCTGGAGCATGATGAGTCAGGTTGATGAGGAGCCCCTAGGTTGGAAATAGTTTGGTGCTGAAGGGCAGCCTGTCCCCTGTAGCAACAAGCAAAGCAGAAGAGAGGAAAGCAGGCCCAGACATTGGCTGGGGGGGCTCCTTGGACTGGTGATGAGAACAGGTTTTAGTGTCAGCCCCCAGGTACCTGGTACAGCAATAAGGACTGCACCCAGAGTGCACACAAGGGCACTCACAAGGATTCATTGAATGCTGGGTCCCTGCACTTTGACTCTGAGGACAAATTAATTCCCTCTCAAATGTGCTACCTGCTCCAAAGCAATCTTAGAGTCCTGCATATTGTGTAATATATCAGGAATTGACCCCCATAATAAAGAGAGGTGGAAGGATGAGCAATGGTTAAAAAAAATCCCCATGGAAGAATAGCAAGAGAGCTGGGTCCTTGCATTTGCAATAGGAAGGGGAGAAAAAAGGCTTATTGGCTGAACGTGTAAGAGCCCCATAGCTTCTCAGATCATTTTGGCATTCAGCATGTTTATGAATAATGAAATAAACTGGTGTGACATGAGGGAATAAGCTGTAAAGTGTCACAAAGCACCAGAAACAAAATCCATCCAAAATGCTTCTTTTCTTCCTGAGGAAAACCTAAAACAACTTTTCTGATTACCTGACAGTCCATTTAATCCCCAGGAAACATTCCTTTGTTACAGTTTCAAGGAGAATTACTTGAAATAATCCTTTGTACAATACGCTTGGTTCTATTTTAGTTTTAAATCATGTCCCTTTTCTTTTTTGATTTTTTTTCTTTTTCCTTTTTTTGAAGAGAAAAAGCAAAAAGACATCTAATCACTGCCTATGGAAGAGCAGAGGGTAGGTTTTGCAGTACTGGAGTTGCCTTTGTCAGGAGATCCTTGATTAAAAAAACCACAAGATTTCAGAACAAGAAATAATAATAATGATAATAATTAAAAAACAAACAAAAAAAAAAAAACAAAAAAAAACCCAACAAAACACAAACAAAAAAACCCTGAAGCCCAAATTTTTGCAGTTACATAGAAAGACTCAGCTATGGCTGTGTCCCTGGGATGAGGCAGGGTCCTTGGCAGGCCCACGTCACACACAGGTGCCTTCAGCAGGGCTTCGTGTTACCAGTGCCCTAGATTCAGAAGGAGACTTGGGATCTCCAGCACAGAGATCTTCAAGAATTTTGAATGACACATGGTCAAGGAGGAGAACTGGGCTTGTGCATGGCTGCCACCATCTGCCTGCCCTCCAGCAAAGGTCGCTTTCCAGGAAAAAGCCACCTCATCTCTTGGAAAAATATATTGCTGTGGTGAAGGGAGGAAAATCAAGGATGAAAATCTCAGAAATAACAGAACAGATATATATATAGGTCTCTGCATCCTGATGAGCACCTAGCTGTGCTAAGTAAGGAATACCATGAATTAGTAATTCTAACAATGGGAAAAGGGTGTAATCTGGAGGATATTAGGGTCTATAACTTTGACATTTGAATGATCTCATCTTTTCTCTCTTGCGTTGACTTTGGGCATTCATTTTCTCTCCTTTGATATAGATACAAATCTTATTCACTTCATCGACACGTGTCAGAAATTACTGTGCCCCTATTCCAGACATGTGAAGGCATTTTGCATACACAACTTGAAAGATGTTTTCAGTCAGAGCATCCTGGCAAAAAAAAAAAAAGGGGGATTTTGTTTTGGGAAAGGTGGATCTGACTCTTTCCCTATTGCTGGCTTAGAAGGTGGTTGCGTTTTTTCCCTCACCAGCTCTCCTCCCTATGATGTTATGCTGCTAGACATGGAGAGAAACTTCACACTACTGTTTGTGGTCAAGATTTGTCCTTCTTCATGTTGCCAGCTCTCTGCTGAACTAGAAAACACAGTGCAACAGGGTAGTGACGAAACCAAGTGTTCAGAAATACTATAGACAAAAAAAAAAAAAAAAAAAAAGCCATATCTGTTTCCTGGATGAGAGCTTTCAGAATTCCATTGAAGGGGACAAAAAAAACCCTCCCTTAAACAATCAATGTCTTCCAAGGTGGGGAATCAGCACCAGCTGAGCTCAAGCAGAAACTTGAGCTGAACCCAAAGCACCTGCATTTGTGAGTGATCTCCTATGGGGCTTCTCATGCTTGGGTCTGCAGCAGCAGGTTTCAACCACATTTGAGAGAAGGTGTTGCAGTGCTGATGAGAGGTTGGTGAATGGTACTGAAAAAAATTCTTTTCTACACTCTAGTTCTATGCATGTCACATTGGAGGGAAGAATTAAGAACTGCTGCCTAGGCCACAGGTTATTCCTTCTTTTTTTTTTCTGTTTTCTTTTCTTTTTTTTTTTTTTTTTTTTCTTTTCACATTTGCTTTTGGAAAATTCATTGCTTTCATTGCTTTTTTTCTTTCTTTCTTTCCTCCTGGAGAAGTAAGCTCCTTCTGATCTATAAATAGCTCCTTAAGTCAAAATAATGGGGCAACCTTAAAAATATATTATAGAGATGTCACTAGTGATTGTGTTGCTAAGTTTGTGTTGAGGTGTGAACTTCAAGCAGGACTGATGTTCCTTCTTTCATGCTCCCGTGACTGGATATAGTGGCTGAATTTGGCACAGAAAGTCTTTATAGGACAATTGCCTTTGCTTTGTATTACTTTAAGGAAATCTGAATCTGCACCTGTTTTCTGAGAACCGTTTACGTGCTGACATACATCTGCTGGATATTACTTGTTTGCTTTTGGGCATACAAAATGGCCTTTATGAGAGAATTGCTTTTTCCAGGACTAAAGTATCTTCTTCGCAGCTGAAGAACAGCTTGGCCTTCTGGCTGCTTCTGGCTGCCAGTACTGTGGGGGCTTTCTCTATCACAAAGTGGCCAGGAGAGGAAGGTGGCAGAAGGATGGGGACAGGGGGGACTTGGAGAAACTCTCTGGAATACAGCAAGCAAAGAAAAATGGAGGACAAGGAGGAAGAAGCAAAAAGTTTGCTATGGGGTTGGTGCCTTTCCTGCCAGTGGGTGGAGATGGGTCATGGGGTGGGGATGATGTGGGGGATTACAGGACTGGGCAGAAACTGAGACTGATCTCATGTGCCACAAACTCTCTGAAATGCCTTGAGAGAGAAAGAAAGGCCCCTGAGAGGGGGAACAGCAGTAAGCACAATGTTATTCTTTAAACAAATACCTTTAGAAATAATATCCTATTTGGTTCAAACAGAGCAGGAAAAGAGCAACTGAAAAGGCAGTTAACGTGGAATGCACTAAATGCTCATATGAAGTTGCCAGCACATTATCGTTGTATCTCTAACCAGGGAGGACTTCACTTGCAGAAATGGCTCTTGACAAAGTTAAGTGGCCCTATATATTGTTTGGGAAATTGCCCTTATTTTGTGCGCTTCTTGTTCCAGTAATGGAACCCATGAGCAGAGGATAATTGCAGCAGTCTCATCTGTCAAATAATATTAGAAGTCAACAGCTATAATCTCAGCCACTTGCTTTACACAGCTTTTCTCTGTATTTTCTGTTCAAATTGTCAGTTGTTACATGTAAGTGTCCCCATTCCCTGTGGCTGATAAAAGTAGAAAGATTTAAGTAAATCAGGAGGAGTGCAGACAGGGGGCTTGGGCAATGGCTCTCAGTGCTAGCACAGTAAATCATATGACAACAGCACACTGGATATGAAAAATTACAGTCTGAGCATAGTGTTACTTGTTACTATTATTGGCAAAGCAGGGCAGCTCTGAATGGTTCGGCTTTGCAGGGATTTGGGGAAGTACTGATTGGTTTTGGCTTGTGTGGGTTTGTGCTTTATGATCTTGAATTTTAGTTCTGGGAGATGAATGGGTCCCTGAAAATCAAAGCAGAGCTCAGCTGAAACCATCTTTTCATCTGCGGGTCAGATCCAAGCCATTAGAAAATGGCTTTGTTGGGATGGCTATCCAGCTGTGACTCTGCAGCTCAGGGTGTTTCCCCGGGCTAGGGGAAGGAGCATGGATGCGGTATAGTGATTTAATTCCCACACCACCACCTCCTGGTGAGGCACTACCTTTGCTCTGCCTTGCAGGAAGGAGGAACGCACCTCTATCTCCATGCCTTGCTGCTCACAAAAGGGGCACCATCACTTCCGTCTGTTGTATTTTTCTGTGTTTTTTCGGCTCTGTTAGAAGCTGGATTGATAGCACCAATGTATTTTTCACAGCCATTGAATAGTTATCAATTGGCCAAAGCCAGATCATGAACAGCCAAAGCCATATTCATCCTGCTGGCTGGAGGGAAGGAGCTGTGTTTGCCACTGCCAGACTTTGTGCAACATGCAGGGTGGCTGCTCTGCAAACAGCCCAAGCAGTGCTTGGCAGCCTCTCCTGTGCTCCAGAGGCAACTCCTCCTGATTTTGCTTAGCAGCATGAGTTACGTGCACCATTGCTGTAATACCATGAGAAAGACTTTCAAAAGGAGGTTTGAAGGCTATTGTGATATAGATGTTAAACTCCAGCTCTCCATATAGAAATTGTATCATCCACTCAAACGTCCTTATGTGAATTTGCTCTATCTCAGACTATCAGCTTCCACATTGTGCTCCACACTCACACCCTCACATGTTTCACAATAGCTTCCCTGTGCTGACAAGCCCTCAGTGGCCAGAGCTCTCTTATGTTGCCTTCTCATTGATTGCATCCTGGGGCTATCCGAATCCTTGCTGTGGAGTCATATGATAGGTGCCACGTAGAGCTCTGGACACAAAGCCAAGGTGTATCACTGCCCACATTGTGTGACTAAGTCATTGTTGTTCAGGTGCTCTGATAGTGCAGCTGCCTTGTTCTGATGAATTTCATCCCTCTGGGCTAGTGACAATATATAGTATAATAGTGCCAATGACATCAACTGCCTCAGATCCTTCTCTGACACTTCTTTCAGTATGTCTGCAGGAAAAAAATGGGCTTTCTTCAGTGCCCTATTTGCGTGTATGTGGTAATGCAGGTCATGATCAACAGGCTCCACAGTCTTCTTTTTTTTTAAATGTCAGAATAAAAAAAAAAATCTGGCTCGTCAGATTGTTTCCTCTGATTGCTCCTTTAAATGCATTTAACATCAGAGCTAGAGCTAACATGTATGTATATGAATACCATTTTGGCAATTATTGTCAGAAGTGACAGCTGATTGCAGGTATTGGAATGATGCAACTTGTTCAAACTTAATGTTATCTATTATGAACTCTACTTCATGATGGTAATAGCTGGAAGGCATTGATTTTTGTTTTCTGTTACTTATCTCGAGCCCATACATTTTGCCTGCATTATTGACTTTTCTGATCATTTCATGCATCATCTCTTCAGAAGATGTGTAAATCAATGTTGACTGTGCAATGTATGTTGTTTATTAAGCTGCCGTGTAGGTTTACACCTTGAAGAGAATCATCAAATGCAGTCCACATCACGTGCCTTGCATAATTGTTGATCAGGCCTGGCAAGAGAGGGCAGCCTTGGAGCACGCTAGTGCTGGTGTGGAAGAGTTTAGTTAATTATTTATCTGGGCCACAGTATTTGCATGCCTATATGAATTTTTTATGAAGTTAATTAGCTTTTCAAGATGCTGAATTGGTTCAGCGCGGCGATGATTGCAGGCCAGCACACTGGGTGAGTGGCTGGGAGAGTCACAGGCTGGAAGGCAGGTGGGAGGCACTGCACAAAGGGGGAGCAAATTTAGACACTTTCAACAGGTGGCCCTTAAGACTGCGAAATCTATTGTGTTTGTGGTCAGCAGACCAAATACATAATACAGGAAGGGGCTCAGGTTGCACCTATGTCTCAGGCAACAAATTTAGACATTTAGGCTGAAATAAAACTCCACCCAAATAAAACCCAAGAGGCTGGAATGAAGAGGGACTAGGGAAATTAAAACCTATCCCCTGAGAAGGGTTCAGGCTGCACAGCTGCTGCACAGGCTATTTGCTCAAGGCTGCTCGTTGAAGCTGTGGATGGAAAAAAGCAGTCATCACCCCACTGCACCAGCTGGGGCCATGGTGCAGTCCTAAAAACAGGCTGTGTGTCAGGGATGGGAATTCAGCTCCACAGCTGTGCTGGGGAGTCAATCCCAGCCAAAGGCTGGGAGGCAAATCCAGAACCAGGAACAAGTGAGGATGGAGGCTGCCGAAGCTGGTGTGATTGTGCAGTGTTCAATGGGTAATTCAGGCACAGCAGTGCTGGCAGGGACTGGCCCTGGGTCTGGTAGGGCTACAGGCTTTCTGCCCTTGTAAGGACAGAGAGAGTGAGAGGCAGCATCAGTCTGGGCAGAGTGTAAACCTCACCCCATATGTATTTGTATTTGGTTTAGTGGGGAAATGGTGGTGATAGGTGGGCAGTTGGACTGGATGATCTTGGAGGTCTTTCTCAACCTTGGTGATTTTATGATTCTTGCCTACCACCATGTTGAGGCATTGTGCCAGCTGTTAGGTGGGAACATAGTCATCTAAAACAATCTGATCCTCCTTGTACCTTGCAAATGGGGCCTGGATGGTAAGGCGCTCTCATGGAGTGCCTTCTTCAAGAGACAAGCTGCCTCTCCAAGACTTGGATCCATTCATTCTTCTCTGCTATTTCCTTACTTTGATGGATTCACTCTTCTCATACCTGACTACTTGGTGATAAACATTTGTATTTTTTTCCTAGGGGTGTCTTTGCATTGTAACATTGCAGTGTCATCCACAGCAATGAACTGCATGCTGTGGAAAATGATAATATAATGCATAACTAAGAGTGTTGTAAATGAACAGCTACTATATAAAAGATGTACCCATGTCTGATCTTTTCACATATGTGGTGATTTATTTAAGGGACAAATATTTTAGCATTTGGAAAGAGCCCCAGCTTTGAATAATATCTCAAATCCAACTAAAGAGAATAGAACGTCAAATAGGCCATATAAATCCCATTGAACTAATGTTTTCATAATCTATACTGAAAAAATCTGAATAGATTTGGTGTTTTTTTTTTTTAAGAGGGTTAGTTATTGAACTCATTTGGAGGAATGAAATTTTCACAAGTCTAGAAATGACGAAACATAATTGATATCCATGAAGATTAAATGAGATTTGGAACCAAGTATTGTTCACATTTAAAAGTTAAACAATAATTTGGCCTTCGCATCATTAACAATAAGTTTAATCTCCATTTGATTTTACTGTTGGCTATGTAGGTCATTCTCTATTGAACAAATCAAGAAAAAAAAAAAGGCCTCACTTGAAAGAAGGGGAATTGATCAGAAGACAGGCAGATGAATGAGATAGTTGTTTTGGATGTACTTGTGAGCGTAATTTCTCCATGAAATCCTTATGGAAGTGATGTTAAACTGAGAACTCAATCAGTGCCATGGTTCATCAAAGCAGCGCCTCCACCTCTACTTGATTGCATTCAGTCTTTCACTTGTGCTTTTGAAAATATGTATGTGTTCACTGTGTACTCAATTTTGAGAATCACTGTTCCTCGTTTTTTTCCTTTGAATGAACTCCTTGGAACTCTCTTTAATGGGGGGGCCCCCCCCAAACACAACAAAAAACCAACAACAAAAGAAAACTACACCCAAAAAGTGAACAATTGAAAGCCTCCATCAGCAACCTTATGGAATAGCTCTGTTCCTGCCAATATCTGCTTCTCATATGTAACTCCCTGACTCTCACACTTCCACATATAGAGAGCAGCTTTATTTAGCCACAGTAGGGTCTGAGGTAGAGCAAAGTCTTTGATACGAATTTTCCTTTCTGATTGTCCATTCTCTCTCATGATGTGGATTTAGGGGCATGCTGGACTGTGAACAGATATTGGAATTGCTGGTGATCAAAACATCCCACCAACGTACTTGCTGGACTAGGTGTTATCTAAATCAGTATATGAACATACAGATATGCATACACAGAGTAATTGCATGGTTCTTGGGAGGCATGGGACATCAAGACCCCTGTTTTCACATACCTTTGTTTCTTCATGGCAGTTTCCAGGGCATCACTGGGCAGTGGTGGCAGTGCTAAGGCTCTTTGAATGCAATTTCTGTCCTTAGCTGCTTGAGATCCTTGCTGGAAGACTCAGGAAAAATTATGAAAAAGATTTTTAGTTTTGCTTGTAAGAGGAATAAGGATGACAGAAATGATGGCTAGCCAGAAAGAGGAGAGATCTCATCGTTCATGGTAATTGTGATAATTTAAGGCCCTTTTGGTGAAATTATGACCAGGAGTCACTGAATTCATTATCACCAAGTCTTCACATCTAATTAATGTAATCCTAATTGCCCTGTTTCTTACAGTGTGTGCCCTATCTGCCAGCCCAGAACATACTGGGCTCCAAGCAGCATATAAATCCTAGTGAGAGTCTGTATCTCTTTTCTGTCCTGCCATGATATAAAAATATCTATGCAAAACACAATATTTTTTGTAAGTGTTAAGGTTACTTCAGAGAAAGAATTTTTCTTTTCAAAATAAGTAGAATATAAGTTGAGCCAAGTATTTTTCTGTAAGTTCATGTGCTCGTATTTTTAGTTTAATAGATAGATTTTAAAAAACAGCATCCTGATTACAATATCTAGCCTCTCACATTGTAGAACTCCTCAAGGCTTTTCCCACCTTCTCAATTTCTTCCTCGTATGCAATCCCAAAGGGGTAGGAGGGCTCATGGTTCACAAGTTCTTGTGACTGCCTGATAATTTTGCCAGAAAAACAACATTAAACAATGTGGATTTCATTCTTTACTGCTACTGTTTTAATATCTCTTTCACCAAACCTACTCCTGAGAGCACAATGATATTTCTGTTTTTAAGCTGCTTTCCAGAGTAGACCCTGGCAGGCAAGTGTATGGGATGATGCATGTGAAGGGGTAATGACACTCCTCACAGTCTGGAGGTTGAAGTGGCCTGACAGAAATGCTCTGGGACTTGAGCCCTCCACAGAGAGCAGCCCCTTTTGGAGCCCTCCTATTGCCAAGCATCCCAAATGGAACCAAGTGCCTCTCCTTGAGGATCTCAGCTGAGCCCTGAGGCATGCCTGTGGCAGTGCTCCTATAAGCACTGAAATGTGAGCGTCTCAATCTTGAGCTTTCAGATAAAAAAGCAACTAAAGAAAGATATCCTGGTCTCTGTGAGGTTGCAGACATTGCGTTCTCCCCAGCGCTCACAATCAAGTGATGGACCAGTGTTTCCTGTTACTTGAAATTGTCTCCGCTTTTCCAGGCAGTTAGTGAGCACGGTCCTCAGGTGGAGTGAGTTGGATTAGCTCCAATACTTTAAGCCGTCATTAAATTTTCAAATGAATATTTAATTGGCTAGTGTGTGCTCAGTGACGTGAGAAGCTTCGTGTGGATTGTACGTAGGGCTAACTCCATGAGGGCACGCTGTTACTCACCTGACCTGTGAACTGAGCTATCAGGCTATTTGCCAGTATTTATTTCATTTATTTCTCCTTATGTTTGTTTACCTTTCAGACTTTGTTACTGCAATTCCTTTGTGTAAAATTTACTCAAGTCTTCGCTTGCTGTGGTTTGGAGGGCAGTGTGTGTGCTGCCTGACTGCTTGGGGCTGCTTTGTTCCTGTGTCCTCTGGGCTGAGTGACACAGAGAGGTGGAGCAGCTGCATGCCAGAAGTCTCACTGCCTTGGTGAAGAGGTGCAGCTGGGTATGTACTTTAGGCAACATTTGGTCAAGGAAGTTGAAGAAACTTTGAATTTGGATAAAGTCTGCTCTGAAAACTACAAAAACATTGAGCTACCCAAACCAATGTTGATATGGGCTGGGTAATTACAAAACACCATGCTTCCATTTCCTGGGGAAAGAAATCCTCTGGTCTGGGAGGCAAAGTCATATTATACACAAATCGTTGTAAAGTAATAGAGGTTTTAATATCCCTCCCTATCGGGATCCACACTTATTACTTTTCAGAAAACAGCAGGTATTTGATGTTTGACAGGTCAGAGAAATGTATAACAATCCACAAAGAAAATAATTTTACTTGATTATGTCTTTTCTGACTGCTGAGTCTGTGAATTTATTCGTTTATCCAGATGTGGAGTTGAGGAATTCTGTATTTTTCTATATGCCTTTTTCTGTCATGATATCCGTAAGGACACTCTACAGTGTTGCTCTGGTTTATTCATTAGATGACCCATTACAAATAGGTAGTACTTTGATACTTAGGGACAACAGAATATTTTGACCTGCTGTACATCTCTAGTGCCACACGCATATACATGGCTTACATTGCAGGGACCTGAAGGGCACTGGGCAAGCACACAGCAGCGCCATCTCACCTGAAGACCTCCTGCACTTTTTCTGCCATGAGCCTGGTGGGAGAAGGAGACAGAGCAAGCCACAGCAGATGGGACTGAGGTAGGAAAAGGACACAAATCAGGCAAAGGAGGAAGGGCTTTTGCTCCCTTGCGTTTGCTTTCTGCCAGCACAAAACTCATCCTGACTTCCTTCCAGAACATCTTCTGACCTGCAGCTAGGACTTTTTCTGAGGAGGAGGACGCTGACATTTCTCTCTGGCGATGGTGCTTGCTGGAAGTGGAAGCAAAGAGGACACAGGAGCTGTTGTTTCAGCAGGCGGTGCATTCAGGGGGTGGGGGGAGCTGCGTTCCATCTCCTTGCCATCTGCCAGGCACAGCTTTCTGCATTGCAGCTCCACACAGGGATGTTTATTCCATGGGATGCAATACGTATGGAATCTTCTGGTGCACGTGTGCTGTCGTTTCAGATTCTTTTTAACAAGTTTAGTCTCCAATTCCACAAACATTTCATCATGTGCATAGGACTGCTCGTATAAATTGTGTTACTACAGAAAAGAGTGCTTCTCCTCTGGTTTTAAATATGTATTGTCAGGAGGATTAAGGTCCCAGACTTTTATATTGCTTTTATAAAAAGTCAAAATCTAGAGAGATTGTACTGGTTAAATGACCAGCTGGGTTGTCATTGTTTTATTTCCTCAAATGTTTAGATTTTTGTATTTTAATGGTTATTTATTTTTCAAGATACCCATTCAAAGCTATTACCACTTTAAAACCTGATGATGATGATCCGGCTGCAATACATCTGAGCCATCTCTCTCCTGATAGCTGAAGGATGAGGACAAGCATTACATACACTGCTCAGCACTCTGGGAGGCAGCGTTCCTGTTGTTTTCTCTTTCTCCGCTGTTGAGAAGCTGCTTCACAGCAGTGCTCGCTCATTAGCACAGCCCCACAGGTGGTGCTGGTTCCAGTTTGAGGTGACACTGTGTGTTGCTCTGCCTGAGCTGCTCTCCCTCCCCAGCTCCATGTACTGTGTCACTGCGTGGTTTGTGTCACAGGATGCAGGTATTAATGTACTTAACCATGTACATCATCATTAGAGGCATTTTTTTGGTGTGAATGGCCAGGTGGGCCTAAGCATGATGCCAGGGACATGGAGGTGGTCCTTCTAACTGTAGCATGAGGAGTGATCTGAAGGGCTGAGCTGGGCTAAAGGACCTGTGGATGCTATTTCTTTCTGTGTTTTAGATGGGGGAGGGGAAGATGATAAGACAAAATAAAATAAAAAAAAACCAACACATTGTTTGCTACCCTCATGACTTCTCCAGTCACATACTGGTACCTGTGCTATATCCAAATGCTTTCTACTGCAGAGCTTGCACTGGGCTTGTCCAGCAACCCTTTGAGGAAGGAAGATTCCACTGAGAACCTTTGCCCTCTGATTCAGCCATTGTTTTGTCTTTTTTTTTTTTTTTTTCATGTGCCCCAACTAATAAGTCTTTTACAAATAATAGTTGGCATTGACGCTGTGGGAAATCTAATGCTTAAAATCTCTTCTTTGTACAATGAAGTTCAGATCTTAATTTGGGGTTTGCTATATGACACTGAATAGCCATGTGAAGTCGTGCATGTTACAGAAAGTGCTCAGTGGCATATAAAATGCCCATCAAAACATGCTTACAGAACTTTCAGAATAATGTAGCTGGCTTTTTGACTTCCAAAGAAGAATTTTTATTTATCACATACCCTGGTAGTCGTTTCCCCTGAGAGCATCTTCAGGAAGGTGCACTTGCTTTACTGTGTAGCCCATCCCTATGTCTTTCTGTGCATCCAATAATCTGGAGAACCATGTGTGTGCTTCTGTTGAAGTTATCAGGCATTATACACCCAACAGTGAAGACACAAGTTACCATCGATGGGTTCATTTATTTCAATAGCCCAGGGTTGCATTGTAAGATTTTCTATGGACTTGGATATCATAGCACTGGCTATTCATTCATTGAACATTCATTCATGTTTTAAATCCTGAGGTTTTTTTTTTTTCTCTTCTGAGTTGTACCAGATTTGCATTTGTGAAGGAGATAATAGTTTTTCACCTGCCTCATGTTTGCTAGCTCTTTCTTTTTTACTTGAGAAGATACATCCCTAAAAGCAAAATTGCCTCCCAAAGAAGTGAAGAAGTTTGCCTCCGTGTTCAGTCTTGCAGGAGTTTTTGGTCATCTATGCATTTCTTAGCAAGTTATTCTGATCTGCATGAAAAGTTGCCCGGAGAATTTACCCCTTGTTAGGAGATATTGGATTGGCCTTTATTTCCTGTGATCTATAAATTACCTTTTAATGTCATTTGCCATAACCATTAAAGAATAGAAGCAGTTATAAAAGGGACATACAGGAAAGAAGGTATCTTAGAAGATGAGCCATCTTCTACTGACCACAGTGCATTCTAAATCCTTTTTGTGTCAGTGGGAAATGAGATCTTTATATGTAGGAAATAAAAGCAAAAGTAAGTTATGATGAAAAAATTAAAGATCTGTTTAATTAGCTTTGCTCATCTTTAGTGATCACCGGGAACAGAAAGGTGGTGAGAGCAGGAGAGATGAAAACTGCTAATTCTTCAAATGCAAGTGAGGAGCTATGATAAAACCCAACTTTGTTGTAAGCATTTAAAGGGCCCTTTAATTAGCTTTTCTGGAAAGTTCACTGATGATATGCTGGAATAATGATCCCATATGTTCGAAAATGTCTAGTCATTAGCAAGCATGGTGGCTGAACATACTAATGCATTTGCCTTTTAGACATTTCAAGAGTGGATGGTGTTGCTGCTGCCGCTGCTGGAGAGGTCAGCCCTTTGTTTCATTTAATCACATGGTGACTTTCAGGACTGAATCATTTTCTTAGCCACACTGTGAGCACTGGTTCTCAGCAAAGAGAAGAGCTTGATCAGTCAGAGTGGACAGAGGAGAGGATACAAGAGGGATGAGCATTGGTGCGTTGTGTTTTTTTTGTTGTTGATTTTCTTGGTTTTTTTTTTTTTTTTTTTTTTTTTTTTTTTCTGTCCTGGCCCTGATCCACAGAATGTGCATGGATTGGAGCAAATTAGTAGAACAAGTGTGAGACTGGCAGCCAACTGTTAATAAATTATTGATTGCATGAAAAACGCTCTTATTAGCACTCTGTTACTAAAGTGCCTTAGATTTTCAGACAGCTGCTTAGGTATATCTAAAATAATTTTACTCACTCTGCCTTTTTATAGCAATGATAAACTAGTATGTTGCCTAATGGTGATGAAGACTGGGACCCTAAAATGATGACTTGCTGAGGACAAGAAATCTCTAAGCTGGCATCTCAGCTGTGAAGTTACTGACTTTCACTCATTAACTCAGTGTGTTCGAAGGCACAAATGATCCCCAAGTTTTTGACATGGATTTACATGCTCCAGTTCAAGTCAAAGGGAAGACTTCTCATTGACTTCATTAAGACTGTATTAAGCTCAAACTGAAAATAAGCAGCAGTGGTAGAGCTAAGCTAAGAAAAATTAACAGCAGAGATATTTGTGCAAATGAGATTTCAAGAGACATAAGTTTGAAAGCAGAGAAACAGGCTGTTCTAGACAGTCAGACTAAGAAAACATTGTGTCTATAGCGATGACAATGTGAAAAAACAGAGAAGTGAGTTTTGGACTGATAGCAGTAATAGAGGGAGAAATTGAACTGACATTATTTTCAAGAGGCAAGAAAAAGATTGAAAATAAGATATATTTAAAACTTACAAATTTAATACCATAGGAAAAAGTATCTCAAATCAGATTTAAACTATGTCCATTTAGGTTTTTTTTTATTTTCAGTCTTACTATTTCCATTTTAAAATCTAGTGGACAGAGAAAAATACAGAATCAATAAATGCAACAGTGTCTATTATAGTTTTTGATGACATTACTGGGAAAAAAAAAGAAAGATACTTCATAGAATGAAGTCTAACATCTTTCTTTTTAACCATATTTCCAAGGTAATGCAGTGCGATTAGGTATTCTCTTTTATCTGTATTTTGCTGGAGTTAAGAATATGGCCTGGAAGGGACACTTTTCTCCACTTACAGCTGAAGAATTCATGCAAAGTTCCTATTTTATGGCTTCCGCAATCATGTATGGATTGTGATAGTGTTGGAGCTGGAGTTGATTGAATTGTGGCCTAGCAAATATAGTTTCTTAATAAGATTGAAGTATACATCAGATCAGAACTCTCATTTCCAAAAATTTGGAAGGATTACTCCTCTGTGAAGCTGATAACAGCTTCCATGTTTAACTGCTAAACAGCTTTTATTGAGCCAACATTTAGAAGGTGCTAATATCTAAATCCACGTGTCTTCTATGTTTGCAGTAGTGGGTACTTAAAAAGCAGTATAATTTGGCTCAAAATGAGTTGATGTAACAAAAAAGTTCACATTTTTCTATGTTGCTGCTGTCTGAAACAGACATAGAGGCAATTTATTCAGCATAAATTATTGCCAGCCTTAGCTAAATGAACTTGCTCTGTAAAGCTTCCTCATGTATATAACCAAAGTGAGCTGTCTGGCTACATCTGTTTTTGCTCATCTTTCACATGTATCATATACAAAATCCAACATTTGAGAGTGTTGTGTCATCAGCAGTACTATCAAGGGAACTCTGGGTTCATAAACCAATGAACAGGTTACATTCATCCATATATGTAAGTTTTTCATCTGTGACAGATACAATATTGATAATATTATTCACTGTAATATTTAATGACAATCTTCATTTAATAATTGATGGCAGTATAATTTAATGCAAAAAGTTGCACACTAGAGGTTGGAAAATGTTGTTTTTGCTTAACTGTGTAACAACGCTTTGAGAAAGAAGAAACGAGAATTTGCACATGAAAAATCGAATATGGATTGGTCAGGTGCATTGTAATGTGGCATTACACACATTTGGATATATGAGTTATGAGCAGGTGCAGAAAATCTAGCATATCTGGATTGAACTTCTTTTGATTTTAGCTCACTTACCAGTACATAGGTTTTCTTTAAAGTGCAATTGCTTCTTCACTGTCCTGATTCTCAGAAACATGCCATTCCTTTAAATGTCTCTAAGACTTCTGTGGTTCCTCTATTGCCTCTACACTAGGCAACCTCACTGCATGACCTCCAGGAACGACTTACACTGTCTTGCCTTCCTTGTCCTGTTCCTTCTCTGGTAGCTGTGGAGGCTGATGTATCAAGGTTTGCTCATGCAAAAAGAGGAGAGGATATGTGAGATCAGAAATCTCCCAGCTTTCTTTAGAGGATAAAAACTAAACTTTACTTCCTTTTTCTTTTATTTTCCAAGGGTGCCTGGGGTAGAAAGAGCTGCTTTGAAAGGCCACGGAAGAATGGAAAGAACTACAGTTTTTCACTTTTCAGCTTGCCAGATACATCTTTTCTCATGTTTCTGTCTAGTTTTAAAACAGTGCGAACTTGTACCCCATGTCCTTGTTCGTAGCCTACACCAATGCCTGCTAGCAGACTGCCTCCTGAATGGGGCACCTCACAGAGCACAGCCTGCCAGGAGAAGAGGTGTGTAGGTGTTTTGAGAAATAAATCTGTGTCTTCTTTATTTATGATAGTCTATCACTTCTGAAAGGGACAGATGAATTTGTACCAGTCATTGAGCTTTTTTGGAAACATCAGGCTTTTCAGATGCAGCCTTCTCCTGAGTCCACATCTGGAATCAGGGGATACATCTGAGCTGTTCCCATTGTGTACTGATGTAAATATCTGGTGAAAGGGGTCTGGGGATTTTCAAGGTTTATTTGCAAGACAGACCACAGTGGAGTTATATCCTGCAGGCAAGGTGTTGGCTTTCAAAATTTTAGATCACAGAGTCCAAGAATGACACCTTGTTTCTGCACTGTGCTGTACTAAATGAAAGACGATCTCAGATTCATCATCAGCAGATGTATTCTGTGCCAGTGCTGGCTATTGTAAGAAGACTGTTACTCAATGAATTTGCTACGTTTCATCAGAGCAGAGCTGTGGGAAACATCACATGAAAGTACTGCAGCATATAAAAGATATTAAAAAGGTGAAAAATATACCTGTGGGAATTGTCTCATAATTTTATTATCCAAACCTCAAGAATTTGCCAGAATAGGTTGAAAATCTCAAAAGACTGGCTAGTTCACAAAATTTCCGCTACTTTGCTACAGAGAATATAGATCAAGTGCACATTTTAATTCTGAGCACTTTGCTTCTGGTCTATAACTGAGCAAGGGAAGTGCAAAAACAT